ACTTGTCTGTACATATAACCATGGTAACCTAGTGGACTTGTCTGTACATATAACCATGGTAACTTACAGTATACTTGTCTGTACATATAACCATGGTAACCTAGTGGACTTGTCTGTACATATAACCATGGTAACTTACATTAGACTTGTCTGTACATGTAATCATAGAAACTTACATTGGACTCATCTGTAGGACTGTTATCGTCCAGTGCTATTGCCATCAAGCTGCTCTGGATCAGCTCCAAATGTTTGTGGTTGTCAGGATGCAGAGCTAACAATCGACTCCTCATCTACAAATAAAACCTAAGTGTAACAACCAATACAGTCAAGCTTGCCTTAACCGCCACTTGTCTATAACAACCATCAAACCAAAGTAACCATTTTTAAATCAAAATTTGCTTCCCCTTTTCAAACCAGAGGCCCAATGAGTCTGCATCACCAACCTGGTATTGATCTCACAATTGTAACCTTGGACACTTTGGTTATTCAGAAGAAGTCGTTTGAAGATTTCAACATGTTTGATCTCTGTGACCTTTAATATGGTTGAAGGTCATTCATTTGAACAACCTTGATAGCAGTTCATCACAACATGCTACTGACTAAATATCATCAACCTGGACATTTTGTTTATTCAGCAGAATGAATGTGGGCCGTTTGTCAGTACTAAGCTGAACTCTCCCTGGCCCCTTACCTGTGCCCATGTTGGCCGCTCGTCAGCAGTAAGTTGACCGATTCCTGGCCCCTCAGGTTGGCCGTCACACAGGTCTCTGATCTTCTGGAACTGTATTTTGAGTTCTGGTGCTGTCAGGGGTTCACCGTCCTCGTCAATACAGTCAAAAGTGAAGATGCGTCCCCGACAAAATACCACTACGTGTATAGGGGTATCACCTTCTGACACTGAAATCATGCACGCACAACTTTGTGTGTTTCATAGAATTATAGAACCGAATAAGAACATGCCCATATAAATATAATACTTAGGTCTGATTTCAGAGAAATTGGATAAATCTGTAAACTTGGTTTAGATTTCTTCTGTTTAAACATTAATTTACTCCTACAGGTACTGCCCATAATACAGTACATTAACATAGAATAGCACAGATTAAAGTTCTGAAATGAACAAAGGCAGATATATTAGTGCCTTCAAATATTCCATCAAATATCATGGCTCGAGACCCTTTGGATCTTTAGATAATGGTGTTTGAGATTATTAATATATTTGACCTTTGACCTAGATGTAAGTCAAGGTCATTTATATCAGGAAACTTTATAGCACTTCATCAAAGGTCCAAACTGGCCAAATATCATAACTAAAGGTCTTTTAGTTCTTAAAGAGCAAGTCTAAAAAAAAGGTTCTCTGGCACTAAAGATAAAAATCAATGTATCTCACTCAATAGATCTGATAGTATGTTAACCCATTCACCCCTAAAGTCACATTTAAACCTTACCAAATCATAGACCGGGCAAGTCCAGTTTAGATATGTAGGGTGGTGGAGTTAATTGTTACATACAATCACACAAGACCAGTCCCATTCTTTGATACCTACCTGTTTTGAAGTAGTAGAGGAGTTTGTCCTTTTTGATACCTGGTATTTTACAGGTGTTGAATGCCCGGTGGAACTGACTCATGGACAGGTGTGCACCCTGACGGTCCTTATCAGGTTTTAAGCGCTCCCTGGAAATCATGCCATTACATTGTATCAGTACATGATCATGATGTTTACTATCTGTTAAAATTCAAGTTCTGCAAAGCAGCATGATGATGTTTTTTGTTATCATTCCTGTCGTCTGATGAGATCGGAAGACTGCATAGCGATGTATTTTGTTGTTAGTTTGTGATTCCTACCATATCATATGTGTCCAGTACTGTTGTGTGGTGTATTTTGTTGTTAGTTTGTGAATCCTACCATCCTATAAGTGCCAAGCACTGCAGTGCGGTGTATTTTGTGGTAAGTAATTAAAATGCCTACTGTCTAATCATTTTCCAATACTGCAGTGCGAAATGGGTGACAAGAGATGCCCGTTCCACTTGAGTTCCCTCCTTTGCTGGCAAGTAGTGGGACATGTAGGGCCCTGGACCTCCGAAATTCACAAAGGGGGCCGCTGGGTATCGCCCCTCCAGGTAAGCACTGTTCTCCCACCATGCCTCCAGCTAGCCAGGTAAAAATAACATAAACAAATAAAAAGACTTCAAACTGGACTGGCAAAAATAGAAAACTAGACATGTAAATACAGTAAAACCTTGATATATTGCCCTTTGTTTCATATTCCACCTGGCTTACTGTCAATATATATCATGGTCCTTTTTTACATTTTTCTTAGGATTTCTTTTACATGTTTCCCTCAGTTTATCATCATACCCCTCCATAACACCAAAAATGTATCTGGGCAAATGGTGGCAATATTATAAGGGTTTACTGTAGAGGATAATTTTGGCTCCTTAAGGAATGAAAATTATATTTCATGATCAGACTGAGTAAAAAAATCAAAAATGTCCCCCACAAATGTCGTACCAAACATGTAACGATACAGAAATGTTCATTTTCAATTATTCATACAAGATTTCCACTATCACATTTCAGGTTAACCCTTTCACCACTGTAGACCATAATGGACTCATCCAGTTCAATGTATGGTAGTGTCTACTAAAGTTAATGTTCATGACAGCATGGTGCTTGAAATAGGTTCATAGGTAAGACAACATCATGGCCTGTATCATGAAACCGCTCTCGAGCTCAAGCCTTGATATTGTGCTCAAGCCTAATTTCTTGTTCCTGTTATAAATAACCTAATTAAAAAATCTTATTTTTTCAATGATTTGGAAAACTTTTGAACAGACTTAAAGCTGAATAACATTTTCCGTGTTAACATTTGACTGTTTGTTTGACCATCTGGCATGATTTAAGTGGGTTACAAGAATGCTGGTCTGAGCACAGAATTCAGAATTCATGCTTGAGCATGGGAACAGTTTCACTCGCCCAGGTCTGTACTAGATATACATTAAATATACAGGGGGGGGGTATTATCTAGGTGGTGAGACTACAATTATTCTTCAAATTTGCCTGATGGACACCAGATAAAAGAAAATTATGGTGGGTACAAATCAGAAAAAAATACCTCAGGGCCTTAAGCACCCACCATATCTTTTTGTAATGGGACTCATCAATATTTTGAAAATGACATTCAGGACTCGCCTGAACCCCATATATTTATTTCTCGAGTAGATATGGGATACATATCTGCAACATACCCAGTTCCTCATATTTTGGGCCCTTTCCTTTAGTTTTTTGTCAAGTTCCTTTCCTATTCCAGACCCAAACTGTTGTACTAGGAAAGCAGTCTGGCGGTACTCGTCTGCGGTCACATGTGGCCTTACTGTCGATAAAATTAATACATCATAGTCAACAGTATCAATACTGTACATTTACACTTACATTTTGAGTAGATGCACTGTGTATCATCTTCATATCACAAATCCATTATATATGTATTGATAAATCAGTTCTTTTTTTATATAACACATTCTGAATTGCCATATATTACATTAATGCCATAATTATAGTAAAATGCAATGCAATTTTCAGACAAATATAACTGATTCTACTAAAGACAGGCTAATATGATTGATATTGAAGCTAAAAATAATAGTAATATGTCACTTAAGGTAGCAGAGTGCAGTAGCGTACGGTGGCCATGGGTGATATTTTTATACAATGAATAACCCCTGTAATATAACATGTATCAAAATTTAAAAAAAAAATCAGCACTAAAATTGGCATATACATGATGAAGTGGACTATGTGGGCTTCATAATTTTTCAAAAAAAAAATCGAATTTGGTTTGAGACTACAATTTTGGGCATTTACAAATCTGTGTCTACACAACAAAAGCTAGCTTTTCATGTAGTCTATTTTTGTACTCAGCACATGTGTAAATATTGTGAAAAATCCACCGGAATGACCTATGCTAAAACGTGAGTATTTCTGTTACCGAGTAGGCGATATTTAATTTCAGACAGGTTTTAAGAAAAACAATTCTACTTGCGGGGGTCAAATTCTGGGTTAAAAATCATGATTTTTTGCATATTTTGGTGTTTTTTGATGTGGTAACCATGGTTTTCAGAAGTCCCAAATCTGGGGAAATCACTTTTTGAAAAAAAAAATGTTCTTCTAAAAAACACCTATTAAAAATGTAGTTTATAAATATATATATATATGTAGGTGTGTTGTGCAGGATGAATCCGCTATCCATGTTTATCCGAGACATGCCCTTTATTTTTAGGGTCAAGCCATTTCTACTGTACTCTGCCACCTTATACACACAGACATTGATTTTTTCTGAAAAAAAGCCTTTTTATGCTTTATTCAGCTTCACTTTCATTCATTATTGCTTAAAACTACTCAAAACGTTTAAAAAGTTACATATAAAGGTCAATATATAGGTCACTAGCCTATTACCTGTGAATGTATAAAGAGGGGTTAACTCGCCCTTTTCACAGGCACTTCACACTTCATCACATATGTGTCAATTGTGTAATTGGTAAAGTTGATACCAAACAACAAATAATTAACAGGCTATCTCCTGATGCATTCAGACCAGATTTCAGTCTGTTTCACTTAGTTCAGCACCCGGTATCCATGGTAACTAACACATAAAGTTGTATTTATTGAAAATGGGTAAAATATCTGTTTTCATTCTAATTACACTATTTTATATGTTTTTTTCCACTTGATTCAGCTTACAGATTAAATTAACAAAGTCAATAATGTCAATAAATTTTATTTCCATAATTACAGCTGAAGAAAACTTTTTTTTCTAGTGAAATATGTAAAATGACCAATGTCTGGGGTCACTGTCAATTCTAGGCGAGGAAAGTAAACAACGGTTGCTATGGTGTCATTTGTCTGATGTTTCAGAATATCTGACAGTTTTGTGCTGTTCATCGGTTACGGGAAGTGTGTCTGTTTCTAGTTTGTTGTTGTGATAGGTTTCCTGGTATTCATTTTGATATCAGTGAGCCTTGATGATGTCACAGATGCCCATTGATGACGTCATAGTTATGATGACATCACAGTAACTATGACGTCATCACACAAGACAGAAACATCCTTGTATCACTGTACTGTTTTGTTTTTCACATGCACATGATCTTAAAGCATCATATTTTACCCAAAAAGATTTTTTTTTCCTGAAAACTACAAAGTTATTCAAGTTTTAATTTTTCAGATTACCTCCCTTTGTTGGTAGTTTGAGAGCAGAATTGGTAAAAAATCACCTATCAGGAGAATTCATATTACTCGGTCACTTTTAAAGTGAGAAAGGAAACGGATACATCTTTTTGTTCCTTGTGTCATTTTTCAGACATTTAAAAAGTTTTGATTAGATTTTGGGGGAAAAGAAGGGATGTATAAGGTAGAAGAGTGCAGTAGCGTACGGTGGCCATGGATGATATTTTTATACAATGAATAACCCCTGTAATATAACATGTATCAAAATTTAAAAAAAAAATCAGCACTAAAATTGGCATATACATGATGAAGTGGACTATGTGGGCTTCATAATTTTTCAAAAAAAAAAATCGAATTTGGTTTGAGACTACAATTTTGGGCATTTACAAATCTGTGTCTACACAACAAAAGCTAGCTTTTCATGTAGTCTATTTTTGTACTCAGCACATGTGTAAATATTGTGAAAAATCCACCGGAATGACCTATGCTAAAACGTGAGTATTTCTGTTACCGAGTAGGCGATATTTAATTTCAGACAGGTTTTAAACAATTCTACTTGCGGGGGTCAAATTCTGGGTTAAAAACCATGATGTTTAGCATATTTTGGTGTTTTTTGATGTGGTAACCATGGTTTTCAGAAGTCCCAAATCTGGGGAAATCACTTTTTGAAAAAAAAAATGTTCTTATAAAAAACACCTATTCAAAATGTAGTTTATAAAAATATATATATATGTAGGTGTGTTGTGCAGGATGAATCCGCTATCCATGTTTATCCAAGACATGCCCTTTATTTTTAGGGTCAAGCCATTTCTACTGTACTCTGCCACCTAAGGCAATAATCCCCCCACCCCACATGTCGATGAGAATAAATTGAATTTGTCTAAAATACGCTTGACAAAGGGACCAGTCAATCTTGAAACGTTGAGACATGTTGAATATGTACCTTATCTTATTGAAGATACTGCAAATTACCATCCGCATTTTCAATAATTTAAGGGCAAAATTAACTCATTCACCCCTGAAATTTCATAATGAATTATTCCCACCTTTGAATTGGAAGAGTTCAATTGTGTCTTCAGGGGTGAATGAGTTAAGTTCTTTCAACAGTATTTCAATATACATAACCTAAGTAAAAACATAGGACCAAAGTGACTATATAAATATACAGTACAAGCAGTGTTCTGTCAGAACTAATTACTTGAGTCTAGGTATCTGTCGAGGGTTTTGTGTAGATCAGGCATAGGCAGTGACGGTAGAGATTCCTCATACTGAAATGTCTTCTCCTCGTCTGTTGTGAAGAATAGGTTCGGGTCAGGGATGTTGTCAGATCCAAAGTTCATTGTCCCTTCAAAGATGGACTATTTCATCAAAATCCGTTCATAAAATTAAAAAGAAAAGAATTCATATGCAGTATACACATGAGAAAAAATTTCACAAGTGCCAGGTATTTCAAGAATCATGCTAGGATTTTGTGAATACTATCCCTGAACCACTGCCAAAACAAAACTGTATTTATGCTTTGGAAACTGCATTATTTCCGGAATGACTATAGCTTTGATAAATCTATTCTGAAAGTAAAAACAATAGGCCCAATGGGCCTGCATCGCTCACCTGGTATTAATCTCACAATTGTAATCTTAAAAGTGGACTAAAATACAGCTACAGGCAGAATATCAGTGTTTGATTGATAAGAACCTATTAAAAGATTTAAACATATGACGCCTGTGACCTTGAATGTCGAACAAAGACATTAGGTTGAAGGTGGGTCAAGGTCATTTATTTGAACAAAGTTGGTAGTCCTTCACTTCAGCATGCTACAGGCCCAATTTCAGTACCCTAGGCCTTTTGTTTATTGAGAAGAAGTTGTTTGAAGATTTTACGATATTTGACCCTGTGACCTTCAAAGTGGGTCAAGGTCTTTCATTTGAACAAACTTGGTAGTCCATCATCCCAGCATACTACAGGCCCAATATCAGTACCCTGGGCTTTTTGGTTATTGAGAAGAAGATGTTTGAATATTTTATGACATTTGAACCATGTGTAATTGAAAGTTGGTCAAGGTCATTCATTTGAACAAACTTGGTAGTCCTTCATCCCAGCATGCTACAGGTCCAATATCAGTACACTTGGCCTTTTGGTTACTGAAAAGAAGTTGTTTAAAGTAAAATGTTGACGCTGGGCAGACGGACGACGTACCATGGCATAAGCTCACTTGCCCTTCGGGCAGGTGAGCTAATGATACATTACGGGACTTTTATGAAAAAAATAAACAAGGATGAAAAAAACAAAATATAATCAAGTGGTTTGAGAGTAAAAACATCAGCAGGACAACCAGAGTTCGAACCCTAGACCTCAGATTGTTATACTATCGCTCTTACCAACTTATTATATATATATAAGCTACCTATACATATAGCTACAATATGTAGTCAAAGGAAGTATCTTGGTCACATGTACACTGTGCTACAGTCATATCAAAATCAAAATATAGGGGGGGTTACTGTACATACGAAAAACCACAGTAAAGCAGGGCGGTGAACATAAAACAGAAAGAACTATTTTAAAATCAAAGTTGTTTGATGTAGATAACTAAAGGAATAATATACCTGTCAAATGTTGGTTATTCCGTACTGTAAAATACAACCAGTCAGGTGTGTGTTGTAGGTCTAGACTATGTGACACAGTATATACATTTGTCCAAAATAGGATGCAGGGTCAGACACAGTGTAATCACTAACATATATAGCTAAGCCATCTCAGCGTATCATATCTTCCATACAATGTCAACAAGACACTTTCGGTCAGTGTACCAGATTAGATCGTCCTATAATATACTTTATTGAATAATCATACATGCTGGTTGCCGATATGAAGATTTGACAACTATACACGATACACATGTATCACTTCGTTATAGTGTAGACTACCAACCTTCACTGTTAACATTTGCTATCATATCCGACAATCAGAGCATCAAGATGTCTGACACATTGTAATGTGTATGGACTGTACTAAATATACTACTGTAGTAGGACGAGGAATAGTGATAAAGATAGTGCTGTCGCTGGGGCTCGAACTCGCGACCCTTGGCTCTCCGACCCGATGCTTTACCGCTGAGCTAAAGAGAAATTCCCTACAGCTGACGATTGTAAGGCAACCTAATCAATGCAGTTTATCTTTTACACTATTCCATACTTTTTTCAAACACCAACCCAGGTTCTTTGACTCCCCGCCAAGGGTTCTCCTACCTTGAACGGGGAGGGTCAACGGTACCAATTTGTAAATTAATAAGGATGAGGAATAGTGATAAAGATAGTGCCGTCATTGGGGCTCAAACCTGCGACCCTTGGCTCTCCAGCCCGATGCTCTTAGTCTACCGCTGAGCTAAATAAAGTTCCCTACAGCTGACGCTTGCAAGGCAACCTAATCAATGCACATCTTTGTACATTACAATCAATATATGTTGTACGTACAACAGCCTTTTCTCTAAGTTTATACTCCTATATGCAAATTACAAAAAGAGTTTTGTTACTTACATTTCACGCACATACTTGCCAACTCTCCCTATTTAGGGGGAGACTCCCGATTTCGTACCCTAATATTTAGTATTTTCAGCCAGTGAATTCACTTAACTGTTCCTATTTTATATTTTAATTTAGATCTAATGATTTCATCTGAAAAGATAACTCTAAATATGTTATTTTAAAGGGTTATTTTGTCTCTAGGGGGTATATGCACACATTTTATTAATGTTTTAATTTTGAGCATGCAGAATCTCCCCTATGGAAATTTCAAATTGTTGGCATTTAATATCATGTATGCATCCCTTATTGATTCAACAAAGCTCATTAAAGACAGTAATATATATATATATAGTCAGCCAAAATTGCAACACACCCGAGACCAATTATTCATGTTAAAAGATTCCAATCAAACAAATACGGTCTTATTAAACAGCAAGGCTGCCTTGATCAGATATGTCTTCGGAAAAGTCCATTAGCATTTATCTTCAGTGTATAAAATGCCAAACTGTTTTGTGACAAGACTTCAATTACCAGGGTATTGAAATTTAAGATTACCATCATTTGCTTTAGAGGGGTTGTTGAACTTTATATATATAAATGCATACACATGTAACGTCGATATACATTCATAAATTAATGTATATTATATTTTATTTAACACAAAGAACAGTACTGTACAGTGTACTGAACTAACAGACTAACTGTTACCGCCGCCGTGCATGTTGTATTATTTTACTTAGTGCAGGCAAAGATCAAGCCGATCGCTGGACTTTAACCTGAAAAGGGAGCATAAAACTCGAATACTCCTGCAGCACTTGGTGTACTTACTGTTAACGCGGTTATCAAATGCACATTAGGTCAAACACCTAGATCTAGACCCTCAGGTAAAACTTCAGCTGAATGTTGTCAAAGTCCAGGTCATGACCCCGTGCGCTCCACCTAGCGGTCACATTTATATTTTAGAAATGGGAGACAACCCAGTAGGCCTAATAAATAAGAACTTTCTTCTCGCGTTTATTTTCTAACATTAGACAGTTGACAACAGAACGCAGGATAATACACACCAACGGTGATTACTACACGATGACCGAATCGGTAGATGATCCTAAGACTTGGACCTAAAATTTGTATTTAAAAATTGATGTAGGTTATTTCAGAGACGTATATATACGTCTCTGGTTATTTACGAAAGGGAGGCTCAACGTGTTAGTACAATATCCTTGAGAATAATAAATAAACAATAAAAGTTTAAACAATAATGACCACGGAATTAGATTAGATGTTATCTAAGTCCGTGATAATGACAAATGCTTTCCGTGATACGTACCAGACTTACTTAGTAAGAGTTACCTCCCCTCTCTCATGTTCGCTTTCGAAAAACGGATTCCAGATTAACGAGGGTCACATCCGCGACACAAAATGTACTTTTCAAATGATTATTTTCACAGTCAGGGCCATAGGGCTGCTCCTTCACCAAAGGTGATTCCTCTACTACCGAATGGCCCACACATATAATAAATGGTTGTGAAAATCAATACGAAACAAATCAATCACTGAAGTTTAATTATTTTCTTTGTAAATTAATTGTTGTAAATTGCCACAGTTTTTGATACATCTAATTTGGAAAAAATACAATAAAACTGTATTATTCCTTGATGACCCTGACCAAGGACTTTAAAAGAAATAATCTGAGTCTTAGTAAACGGGAAAATGTTATCCCAAGCCATTAGTTACACAAGTTAAACAGAATCATATATTAACAGAATCATATATTACATACGTCCGACTCTGCTTCAACAAACTGTACTTGAAGACAACAGTACCGGAAGACAGACTGTATTTTCACACGAGAGTTAAACCTCCATACATGGCATTAAAGGACGGATTCAAGTTAAAAATAAGTAATTTATAATAATCTTTTCATGTTTTTTTTCTTGAATTGAATTAGAAATGCAAACTAAAATACCAAGGCCAAAATAATTCAGTGAGTGCATGGATACGGGACGGGACAACATCAAGGCTAAGGAGAATTACCTAGGTAGGGACAGGTTCAGTTTGTTTTACTTTTACAAAGAGGTTAAGCTTCACAGTTACACAATATCAAGGCAAATTATTGCTGGCTAGTCCATTATGAGTCTTCCACTATACACAATTTAATTTACGCGACAGTCTATCTTACGGAGAGGTATAATCATATTTTTACCATCTTATGACATGAATGTCGTGTGCGGATTGTTGACGTCATAATTGTTACGTTGGATACAACTGAGCCTCCCTGGGAGATGGATGCTCTATTCATTTAAAAAGCATACATGACATATATATATAGAGAGAGAGAGAGAGAGAGAGAGAGAGAGAGAGAAAGAGAGAGAGAGAGAGAGAGAAAAAAAAAAAAAATTAACGACCGACTAAAAAACTAGCTGCTTTCAACCTTCACAGACCTGAAGAGCCCTGTGAAGGGTGAAAGCAGCTATATTTACTTCCTTCACATGGACATTTAATCACTTTTTATTATATATATATATATATATAACTTGAAGCAAATCCTGAATAATAATAAGTGTATAAGAAGTTTCTATGGGATGAACAAATTCAAAAAATGATGAATATAAGCAGGGATGTGTAGTGGATATATAAGAATGCCATGGACCGATTGTTGACGTCATCGTTATCATGGCGTCATAATTGGTACAGTTGGCATTCATATAGGATATGAATGTCATGGGCCGATTGTTGACGTCATCATTATTACGACGTCATACTTGTTACGTTGGATACCACTAACCCTCCCTGGGCGATGGATGCTCTATTCATTTAAAAAGCATACATGATATATATATATATATATATATATATATATACATAACTTGAAGCAAATCCTGAATAATAATAAGTGTATTTGAAGTTTCTATGAGAGGAACATATTCCAAAAAATGATTAATATAAGTATTGAACTGTCTGCTTTATTGATTTTGCCTTTGTCCAGCTGGAATTCATATTGCCTATGATCGCCAACTTAAAACAATTCAATGCCTAAAAATTTGGCAATGTAGACATCAGAATATGCTAAGTACGTGTCCCAGACAAAACCAACCACTGACTGCCTGAGTGACGGACGGACAGGTCCTGTAACCCTCAGTCCCTACGATGACATTGTGATATATATGTTGATGTTTCTGCCGAATTCCGGCAAGCCGCGACAACGAATCTGGCAATTCTGAATCCGATTTGTTTAAAGTTAATTAATAAAAAAAACACCTGCATCAATATATCTTCTTCAATGGCACAGAAACATAAACATAAATATACTAAATATTACGTTTTATGCTTTTCTGACTGACGTAAAATAGAAAGTTTGAAGTGACAAAAAGTTGGACGAAAGTTGGACGGTACATTTTTAGGGAGAGGGAAGGAAGCGCACCAACTGACAAGCAAGGATATGGAGCGAAACATCCTAACCCCGCCCCATCCCCCTCAAAAAAACGGTTCTCTGGTGCGATCAAGGTAAAATTGGAATACATCACACACATGTATATACCTGTAAGGGCAAGTGTATACGTTCGGCACTTCAAAAGACGTTTAATGAAAATACATTTTTCACACGAAAACTGCGGATAATAGTTAATTTGCCAGCTTTTTAATTACTGGTACGCCCTTCGGTGTATTTTAACAAAAGAACGGTCGCTTTCCTTGTAGACAAAAATGCCCATAGCGTTCAGGCAGGTTATGCCCATATCTTGATTGTATGGCATTTGTTGGTATTAATGAGTGTATGAAAAAAATGACAGAAGGGCAAATACATCCATATTTGAAAATCTATTCAGCTTTTTCTGTCGGACAGAAAGTCTGGGGTTAGTTCCGCCCACGTTGGAATTAGTACAATTATGACGTCATAAAGCTTGCAAAGTTAGATTTTCCCGTCAATTTCTCGATTTTTCATATACATATATATATATATATTGCAACAATACATTTAAGCATTGAACTGCTTTTAGTTAGGATTCTTAATGCATGTGAATGTATATTTACCATTATGGAAACTGTTCATCTAATAAAAAGGCCAATTACACTTATTATTATTCAACATTAAGTTCAAATAATGTATGTATCGTGCAATCTTGTTCAATGAATAGAACAATAATTAACTAGGGAGGTTCAGTAGTATCCAACGTAACAATTATGACGTCGCAATAATGATGACGTCAACAATCGGCCCACGGCATTCATATCCTACATGAATGCCGAATAACTTTCATAGGGTTATATGGTGTCAATGTCATACAATGTTTATCCAACGTAACACATATGTCGTCATATTATTGATTACGTCAACAATCAGCCCATGTTTTTCATATCCTTTATGAATGCCGACTGACTTTCGTAGGGTGATATGGTGACAATGTCATACAATGTTTATCCAACGTTACACACATGACGTCATATTATTGATGACGTCAACAATCAGCACATGTTATTCATATCATATATGAATGCCGACTGACTTTCGTAGGGTGATATGGTGACAATGTCATACAATGTTTACCCAACGTTACACATATGACGTCATATTATTGATGCCGTCAACAATCAGCCCATGTTATTAATATCCTATATGAATGCCGACTGCCTTTCGTAGGGTTATAAGGTGACAATGTCATACAATGTTTATCAAACGTTACACATATGACGTCATATTATTGATGATGTCAACAATCAGCCCATGTTATTAATATCCTATATGAATGCCGACAGACTTTCGTAGGGTTATATGGTGACAATGTCATACGATGTTTATCCAACGTATCACATATGACGTCATATTATTGATGCCGTCAACAATCAGCCCATGTTTTTCATATCCTTTATGAATGCCGACTGACTTTCGAAGGGATATATGGTGACAATGTAAAACATATGACGTCATATTAATGATGACGTCAACAATCGGCCCACGGCATTCATATCCTTCATGAATGCCGAATAACTTTCATAGGGTTCTATGGTGTCAATGTCATACAATGTTTATCGAACGTAACACATATGACGTTATATTATCGATGACGTCAACAATCAGCCCATGTTTTTCATATCCTTTATGAATGCCGACTGACTTTCGTAGGTTTATATGGGGACAATGTCATACAATGTTTACCCAACGTTACACATATGACGTCATATTATTGATGATGTCAACAATCAGCCCATGTTATTAATATCCTATATGAATGCCGACTGACTTTCGTAGGTTTATATGGGGACAATGTCATACAATGTTTACCCAACGTTACACATATGACGTCATATTATTGATGACGTCAAAAATCAGCCCATGTTATTCATATCCTTTAGGAATGCCGACTGACTTTCGTAGGGTGATATGGTGACAATGTCATACAATGTTTACCCAACGTTACACATATGACGTCATATTATTGATGACGTCAACAATCAGCCCATGTTATTCATATCCTATATGAATGCCGACTGACTTTCGAAGGGTTATATGGTGACAATGTAAAACATATGACGTCATATTAATGATGACGTCAACAATCGGTTCATGGCATTCATAGCCGATATGAATGCCAACTGAATTTGGTAGGGTTATAGTAGTTATGCCATACGATGGTAAATATTTAGGCATTGAACTGCTTTAAATTGGCGTCCATAGGCAATATGAATACCAACTGGACAAAGGCAAAATTCAATAAAGCAGGGTTATATAGTGGTTACGCCATACGATGGTAAATATTTTAGCATTGAACTGATTTCGGTAGCGCTTCATGTTGGATTTTCCTTTGTACAGTTGGAATTCATACTGACTATGAATGCCAACTGAAAGCGGTTCAATACTTAATTTACCATTTTAAGAATCTGTTCATCTCATAGAAAATTCAATTACACTCATTTTAAAATATTTAGCATTTAGTTCAAACAATGTATGTATCGTGTATGCTTGTTCAATGAATAGAACAGCCATCACCCAGGGAGGGTCAGTGGTATCCAACGTAACAATTATGATGTCATAATAATGATAATGAAGTCAACAACCGGTCTATGGCATTCATAGCTAATATGAATGCCAACTGAATTTGGTAGGGTTATATAGTGACAATGCCATACGATGGTAAATATACCATCATGTGACGCTGTCAGTGTATAACATGTATGGCATGAATAAGTAGCAAGCAATTAATTCAGTTTAAATTAATTTTACAGAAAGTTCGTAAAACTAGAAAGAAGTGAGGTTATAATTTTCCCGCCCGGTCAAATGAACTGCGAAGATGATCCTCAAAGTTGTAAATATTTGCTCAAGACCAAAAATATCATGGGTGGCTGGACTTACCCCCGGGGCTGAACATTGCCCGATCTCCCCTACTCTCTTAAAAAATATACATGTTTGCAAAAAGTGTAACAAATATTGTATGATAGGAGTAACAACTTCCATTTATTGATAATATAATTTGTAACACCATTGTGGATAAGAAGAAAATGATTGTGGTGTTCTTTGTGAGTCGATTACTATTTGTTTATCAGCCTACACAGATATTTTAAAATGATAGGAGTAGCAATTTTCATTTATTCATAATATAATTTATTTAAAGAAGAGAAAAAAACATTGTGTTCTAAAATTTATGCGAGTTTTATAATTAACTTAAATCAGGGACAGTATATCACTATACGTCCCTGGGTAGATGTATGCAAAAAGTGTAGCATTGCTCAAATGTTATATGGTATATATATTACAATATTAAAGATGAGATAAAATAGTGTGTTCTGTGCAAGTCGATTACTATTTGGTTATTACAGAGTATATAATACCAGTAGGTAGTATAACGTATCTGGTTATTACACCATAGAACCCAATCGGACAACCACTCGGGCCTTTCCGTCATTCAATCGATATCTTATCAAACGAAATATGATTGGTTGCCAGTGTCGCTATAAGGTCCGTTTTGATTGGTTTGCATTCACACTCTGAAAATGGCTTCTCTCCCTACCTGTACTGGCCAGGTAGATCGAACACGGTTCTGCTAAATTATTTAAATTGTGTAGGTAAAATTACCCGTGCATGGTGCAGTTTTGATGGTCAGTTCTCAGTGAGAAAACCTGAGTCTTTTGTCCATATTTTATTCCTATTTTACTCGACAGTTCGTCCTGAAAACCAGCTATGAAGGTGAGTGTTTACATTTTGGCTTCGACACGAATCGATCTGTCAAAAGGAACTATCGATGCATGTCGGTCTCTGTGTATTGCTAATATGATATACGTTATTACCTTTTTACTGACTTCGATATGACTTCTTTATCGGATATGCGGAATATATTTGTAACAAATCTTGATGATTATTCTGTCTCAGATGAGTCGAATGTTGTTTTACTGAACTGAAGATAACGTTATTGAAAGAACTGTACTATGGATTAATCCTGAGAACCTTGCGCTGCGATTATGATTACCCAGTAGACATATGTAGGTCACCTGTTTTGTGCTTTGCTGTCTTTATTTCTAACGGTACTTTACGAGTGGCGTCAATACCTTAAAAACGTAAGCGAGATGTGATTGATTTTATATGTGCAAATCTTTGGTTACTTTTGAATTGATCCAATTAATATACCGTTAGAAATGTTAAGGTTGACTGGTCACGACTGCCAAATCTATTAGGCTAACATATAGGCCTAGTTAGGTATATATTGGTGACCGGCCATTCAATTGTAAACAAGCGTGACGTTGGTCTTTCATGATCCAACTTGTATTGGGCATTTAAACAGTTTAAAGCACATGTCTGTCCTCCTGAGAGGTCAGTATTACCGATTCCATTGAAATATTCACTTGGATATAATAATTTTCCCAAGGAACCCTTCCCAAGTATGACAACAGGTAAGAAAGTCTTGAATTTGTTTTTTACTTACACTGGTCAATAAATACAATATATATATAATTATATTGATGCTCATTACAACAATCATTAGAATATTGCCTCAATCTTTTTTTCAAGTAAGTTGTACAGCTTATTTAATAATTTACAAATTGTTCATTTTCTATACATTGATTAAGGATAATGTTTTCTTTTATCAACATTTTTATTCAATCTCTTCAACTGTGTAATTAGGTTGAGTCTATGGACTATATATATATATATATTTGATTAATGTGTATTTCAACTGGATTGAGAAAATAAAGTTATTTAATTAAACTATTGCAATTAATTAAATTGCCAACATTCCCTATTTCGAAGGAAGACTCACAATTTTTGACCATTAATTTAATGTTTTCAACTGATGAATTTGTTGAACAATATTCCAATATTTTATGATGTAATGATTTCATCTGAAAGAACAACTCATAATTTGCCATTTTAAAGTGTTATTTTATTCCCTAGAGGGATATACAAACATTTTATTTATATTTCAATTTTGAGCACTGGTAATCTCCCCCTATGGAATTTTTAAAAAGTTGGAAAGACTAAAATGCCCTTTGATAAGTTATATATTAACTGTTACAATTAAAGTACTATTGTCCTCTCCTTTTACCCAGGTGTTCACCGTACATACTTGATATATTAGAAAATTGAATATTAATCAACACTACCTTATTGATGTTACCTGCAATTAAATCATAAGCAGACACATTTTACCTGTAATCAATGAACACCACAGGTAGTTTGGCCATCTATTGATTTCAGGTCCCAGGGCCATTGTGTAAATGTAATTATAGAATTTCATTTATTTCTGGATGGTAGCTTGACCATTCAAATAGGATAAAAGCCTTCGTTTATTGTTCAAAGCGTATAACTGTAAGTAGAAAACCAGCTGGAGTGTTTAGTCGTAATACTAGTATTACAGGTTAAGTAACGGTTGACAGTTAAGATATAGATCTACACATGTACAGAACAGTTAGCTTTCAACACTTTCCTTACCAGTACCGATCCCTTTGGTGGTCTCAGGGTTAAACCAGTATATTATTGGGTCTCTGTATTATTGATGAAGCAATGGGGCATGCACGTAGAATCCATTCACCTTCTTTAATTGTACATGTATGTATACACAGCTGGTATGCCGTAGAAGAAAAACACATCAGTACATTTTTTCATTTGAATACGGTTAGCTATATATATATGGACCATTATAATGTATGTATACCCTGGTGGCTACTTATAGCGGTTTAATGTGTGGGTATGCCCAACATAATGGCAGGCTCAGCCTGTCACAGTTTACACAACAAATATTTTCTTGGCAGATATCAACATTGATCATGCATGTTTTATATCCCAAAACAGTGTTTGATGTGAACTTGTTGGCCAATGTACTATACGAGAGAATTAATGTGGACTTCTCTTCAAAAAGTTTTTTTTATATTGAGTCATTTCAATAAAGTTCTAATATATCTTATACATGTATTGATATAACAACAGTTAATATATCAAAGTAAAATTTGGATTTTATCCAAGGACCTACCTAAAATGTTACCAGAATCCTCTGGAAAACACTGTGGGTTTTTCCACATATTACAGGTTTGGGTAGACACCGAGGTATCCTAGAGAAAGATTGGGGTTCTAAAGACCAACTTGTATTTCATATATATGTATTTATCTTGTTTAATATCTAGTCCAAAAATCACCAGAACGAATTTAAAAATTCATTTATACAGGTCTACATTTCAATAAATTTTCGGTTTGGAATTGCTGAAGATTTTATTGAAAGAAATTACATGTTAGTTGGAGGGGATGGGAAGGATGGAATTCAAGTGACTACCCAGCCTCTACATTTTGTTAATTACAGGTTTTTATGCTATAGAACATATGTAATTATGTTCATAACCCATATCCAATCCATGGATGAACAGAACTACAAACTTTATCAAACTTTGGACCTCAATTTACATCGCAAGTAGTGTCATAAATGCTTATTTGCAACCATTCCATACATTTGTTTATTGGGGAAAAGTGCATTGTAAAATTTGAATAAGTCTTTAACGGAATAAATGACGTACCGGTAAATTTAACAAAAAATATTTTCCAGCTGTATACAGTGGGAAAGTGATGGAAATCTACCTGAAGTAAATCTTTTAACTAAAGGTTTCTTTTCATTGGAAAGAAAGAAATTCTTTATTTTTTTTTCCCATTGGATAGCAGTGATTTTCAATAAGGAAAAATTTAAGTTAACTTAAGAAATGTTCTTACATAGGGAACATTCCTGAAAATGGAAACTGGTTATCAAATCTCAAACTGATTAGAGGTAAAAAAAAATGTCAAAAATGTTCTGTTATTTTGCTGACTCGACTGTGTCCTTTTATCATCCTCGATGTTCATACTACTCAGCAAATATGGCACCTGTTTACCTGTGCATGAATTATGTACACTACTGCACTTGTTCACACATAGCTCTCTGCTGATGATCATTGTGAGGACCGCGACCTCGGATCAATTGTTACAACAGTTGAGTCCTCCATTATTCATGAATCTCCCCAGGGTTATAGAAATCTTCCATTGCTATCAGGGTATACCTTGGAGTCTCGAGCATTTTTATCAGTTTACGCTTGGACCTAGAGTGTCTTGCTGGGTTTAGTGTTTCCGTTATTGATTAAAACCTGATTGTCATTTGTATTTCTTATCTCGGAGAAGCTTGATAGCATAACAGCATCACTGGAAGTCTTGTCCCTGCTGTCACTCCGGATGCCCCGACCACTTTAATTCTCAGTGATAAATAGTTTCTTAAAATTCAAGTAGTGTACCGAAATTCAACTTCACGAATGCCCCCTTAGCTAGCCTTGTCTTTTTCTCGTCTGTCCTGTTTTATTCCTTCAACATTACTTACTGACTTGCATGAAAAAATGGGTCAATTATGGCAAGATTTTGTGTATTTCTATTTTTCTGCTAACATTTCAATTTTCTTTGGTTTTTGTTTGTTTGTGGTCTACGTCTTAATAACAGCTATGATCATTTAAGTACGTGCCAGGTTTTGGTGGTGGAGGAAACCGGAGTACCCGGAGAAAAACCACCGACCTGCATCCAGTACCTGGAGACAGCTGCCACACACAGGCCTCAAACCCGCCATTTCAATTTTCACAAATTAATATTAAAGCACCCAGGGGACTTATTCGCTAATATGGATGGGGCCTTTTTGTATCATTTCGGAAGAATCAAGTTTTTGGGATTTTTTTTTATTTTTTGGGGGGGAATTAGGCATAGATATGAAATATAGTTTCAATTGGGAATGGGACCAACTATCAGCCCCTAAAGAAGGCCTCCAGAAAAGTCTTGTAATGTATTTTGTTTTATTAAAAAGTCACAGAATATTTACAATACATCCGTGGGTGTTGACAAATGAGGCTGTGGTATGTTAGGAATGGAGTGTTGGTGAGTGCCATATAGCTATAGTCAGTAATTCATACGTTTTACCTGTCCGTTATCAGTTAAAGTAACCCTGAGATTGATAAGATGTTTGCACTTGCAATGATTTACAACAAGATAGTTTTGTGTGATTGACATCAATGCAACTGCCTTTGACTGGAGTAAGATGATTTTGTCTGTTTTGAGGAAGACTGTCAGTGGGGTGATTTCAGTTACCACATTTACCAAAATTAGCGCCCCTTCCCCCCCNTACATGTTCTTACATTTTAAATGAGAGGTTTATGTCTGGTGATCATGGCTGAACATACCGAGAAGTGGATGAAACATTTGATACCTATTTTCCAAACCTCCAGCCACACTAGAATGTTTATGGCATCCTTTTGTTATACTGTGGCAAGGATTGAAGTGGTTCTATCATAACTCTTATTACATTATCCTAATTCAAGCTAAATTTTTAAGGATGAGATGGTCATTTGCATTGCATCCGTATTGTTTCGAAATACTATAAGTTCCCTGGGCACTAATTACGGCAAATACAGTACTATACCTTGAATATAACGGTTGCATATGGTAATGTGTCCAACAGTTATATCATTTTTAAAACAATGTCTTTAACCTATGTTTCTGTATCTTAATATGTGCCCCTACCACAAACAGTCAATTTTAATGCGTCCTGGGTGCTAATTATGGCGAATACAGTATTTAGAAAATTAATATATATCTTTTGGGATATTGATAATGAAGTTGAAAGACATAGTGTGTTATATCTGTAATAACAAAAATGTTTGATATCAAAATGTGAATGAAATATATCCGAGCTATCAAGACTTACCCACTGGTCTGGGTTTTAGTTGATGTGTACGAGGTTCACAGCCAGAACTAAAATGTCGGCCAGCTGCCTGTCTGTGTGCAGCTTAATAACACAACAGCCTGAGAGATTATCCTTTACTTCTCACACATAATTCTGTCTCAGCCGTACATGTCCATAAATAGCCTCATTAACAAGGAATATTGTGATATTTGTGATATTTTTATTATAAGTCTCAATGTGTGGTCCCAACATCACAGACGTCTTACTGGTATATTGATCATCTTCTGAACAACCTTATAATCATACAAAGTTCTCAAGTAACAACCCAATTTTATAAATTCCATTCCCTGTGCATTTCTTGGTGTCGTACTTTGTCATATCTTAGGATTTTAGCTTCACACTCAAGAAAAAATAGTTTCACAAAATGTCTGTTAGCTTTTCTGTTCAAAATATTTGATAAATATCTACCATTCACATATGGTGATATACATGTAGTTATAATGTAAATTAGGTAAGAGTTGTTAAATACAATGTGTAGGTATTAATTTTTTTTTCTTTTTTTAAATATATAAGTGCACCATTATAGCATATAAAAAATTAGTCATGAAATGTCTATTTTAAGAGACTAAAAATTTCAGTATATGGATATGTAGATGCTGTAATTGGATTAATATCTGTTAATTAAATCAGACTCAGTACCTACATGTAAATAGCTACCATATTTTTTTTTTCATTCTTTATTTCGTGAATATAGGATACACAGCAGAAAACTCAACACCTTGACAGAGTAAAATTAACTTAGCAAGCTGTACAAGTAAAATATAAAGAATAAATGTTTTAGGTCATTTTGAGACAAAACATTTTGTCATTCCATAGTCTATATAATCTATATAACAGAATTGTCCAGGGCAAGAAAACGGTCAAAGAGGTTTCTATCTTACACCTTATTTCACATGAGTGATGTCGCCATTGGGCAACAATGCTGTTACATCAGAAAATTGGGGGATATTTTGATGTCACTTTCAACTTCTTTTCATGGTTTCAGGGCTAATCTGATAATTGGAAAGAAAGAGAAAATACTCTTACATGTCCAAGCAGCCTATGGGTGTAGGATAGGCAAAAGAAGAAAACAACATCACATGTTAGTGTATATAGGATTTGAAGTAACATCCAAGGGGATTTCAAATTGTGGTAAAACCTAAGGCTTACCAGGGGATTATCGATATCCCAATTTATACACCCTGAAGGTGGAATTTTCTTAACGTTACACACACAGGGACCTGCTAATTCGTTACAGATACATATTTGGACCTACACTGAGGTGTTCAGAATAATACTACAGGTTTTAAGGGTTTAGATCAACTTTCGGTGAAAAATGCCACCTCCAATGATGATATGACATTACAGGTTTTATGGGTTTAGATCAACTTTTGGTAAAAATGCTACCCCAATGATGATATACCATCATGGGGATGGCATTGTTTCCAAAAGTTGATCCAGTAAATCCATAAAACTTGTAAAAGTACTCTGAATACCCCAGTGTAGGTCCAAATATAGCTGTAACAAATTGTCATGATCCCTGTGATTTCTCAAACATGCACTGTCACATAGGCTACATGTAAACAAGAGCGTTTCTCTCATTTTATGTCAACAATGCAGCTTTTCAATTTATATTACAGGAGTCGTGAGTTGAGGCCACCAATCATGTGAGAGGCGGTAAACGCCGCACGACCCTTATCATATCCACCCGTCCAGGATAATGCCAAGCCAAGAACGACGCAAGTCGCCGGATGCTGAGTAAGTATTACATAGTACTTTTTATTTTCTTATGTATAATGGGACTTACTAGTTTATCGACAAACAAACTGATAAGTACACGTAATATTCAGAGCAACTGTTTTTGTGTTTGTGAATGATTCAGGTATTTGAAATTAATCCTAAAGGAGAGTCTTTCCACAATATTAACAACCTGTCTGACTTTTACTCAAGATGAGTTTAAACTTTCTATGTAAAAGAGAGCAAAGTGAGTTTCGGAACACAGCTCAGAGGCAAAGATTTAAAAAAAAAAAAAAAAAAAAAAAAAGGAAGATCGTGATTTGGGCTGAAATAAGTAGTTGTGTAATGTCCAATAGGGTTATTCACAAGACTATATATACAGTACTGTAGGCTTATAGTATATATACTATAGGTCTAGAGGATGTTGTTGTCATAAATTGGTGACTCAGCTGTTCACCCTGATTTTTGCCTACCGGTATGTAAAGTTATAAACTCCGATTATTCCGTCTATCCCTCTCCTTTTCTCAATTCTCAAGTGGTGCGGGGCAACCGTGGCCTAGTGATTAAGGCGTCTGACATTCTGCTACCGCTAGCCCTACACCACTGGGTCGCGGGTTCGAAGCCTACGTGGTGCAGTTTCCAGGTACTGCACGTAGGTCAGTGGTTTTTCTCTGGGAACTCGAGCTTTCCTCCACCACCAAAACCTGGCACGTCCTTATATGACCAAAGCTGTTATTAATAGAACGTAAAACACAAACAAACCAGCCAAAAATATTCTAGTGGCTATAATGTTGTTTAGTCTTACCAGAGGTTTACTGTACAGAAGATTGACTTGATGACTTTTTTTGTTCTGTTAGAAATTCAGCCTTTTGTTTGCCTTACCAGTATATTTTGTAGATGACATGTTACGGTAAACAGGTGAAACATACATGATCGATGACATCAGCATTATATTAAACGACTTATAAACTACCACAAAGTATTGGTGCCGATCACTACAAAATCTTCTTAGCTGAATATTGTTAACGTTTAAAGTTATGAATGAAGTCAGATATATGTATGACCTATAGTAAAATTTCTTCAAAGAATAGATTTTGTTTGTCATTTAAAAAAAACTAGGTGAAACTTTGGTCCACATTATGAATAAGGTGTGTAATTACAATAGGTGTTCTTGACTTATCATAAAAATACAATGTCCTTATGACTGGGTCAATAGCCTAGACTCGTAGACATGTCGCTGAAATTTAAATGACTTTCATACATTTTTACTCTAACAAAGAAATCTATAGCTGTCTTATGTTCCAATATTACAGTAAAGGGTATTTAAAAGTGTCATACTTCTGGGCCCTTACAAAACTGAATGTTCGAACCTATTTAAAATCATACCCTGTGAAAATTTTGTATAGACAAAACGTTTATCTCTAAATCTTGAAGAAAACATCAAAGTTAGTCATTCTGAGCAATAGAAATGTTTAAAGGAATAAATTGTACTTTTAAAACATTATGTTCAGAAATGCTCAAACATTTTTTAAATTCTTAAAAATGTGATGAAATAAAAATGTTAGTTCAAATTGTATATCAAAGAGATGGTTTTAGATATGGTCTTTTATAGTGTGAAAAGATTATAATCTTCAAAATATTTCCTAAAACAAGTCTAAAGTTGTGGGTGTACGGACTTATTATTATTTCAGGGCAAATGCAAAGATTTTAAAAATTGAACAAAGTACGGTAATGTTAGCCTTTAATATGCTGAGTACACACTGTACATGTTTGTATGCTGTCAAAGCTAGGTGCCATATCATTCCAGCCTACACCTTCCAATTAGTTACATTAGATCTTCCATATAAGTTTAACCAATCTAATTTTATATCAATCTATCATGAAACACAGGACATTATACTCAGGCTGATCTTGTTACAAGCTTTACTCTGATCAAACGCTAATCCCCTATCTGTCGCCCATGTGTCATATTGGAACAGTCGGGATTACTGAAATGGGGTGTTCTATTTGTAAATGTAGGGGTTTGATGTGTTATAGGATTTCATGGAAGTTATGCAATTGAAAAACAGAAATTTTTAAATTGAATTATTGTCCACGCTTAAACAAACAAGATTACATCATTGACAATTTGAGGTAATGTCACCAACCATTATATTGTCAAATCTGTCATCAGTTTGTGACATGTCTGATGAAAGGTAGTATTACTGTGTGTTATAATGGTAAAACCACACTTAATTAAAGGGTTATTGGGTACTTTATATTACACACAGAGTTACTAACGGTCAGTGGTTAAAGTTCTTGGTTATAGGTGACTGTATATAAATATGAAGTGGGATTACATTTTTGATGTTCGAGATTGAACATTTCTACAATAGTATATTTATTAAAACCCCCAACCCTTACCCTCAAACAGTGAAACTATACCATCAAATTCTTGGGATCAGTGAATATGAATTTCCATACATTATTAATGATCACCTCTGTATAGTTTGAACTATATGTTCATCTTCTTTTGAATTAACATAAACATGTTATTTAACAAGTATTTTTGGGGAAATCAAATTTGGGCTTTGCCTGTTGTTTTAAATCCCTTTGCTTATAATTTTAAGCAATAAAACATGTGAAAATGCTTGACATGTTAAATTTCAAACCTGAGGAGAAAAATAACTGCATTTTATGTGAAATACTTTATTCATAAGTCCTTTTTGAGTTATTTAGGGACTGAAAGTCTACTTATTGATAAGTAAAAAAAGATATGAAAGGTTTAATTTAAAAAGATATGAAATTACAAATATGAAAACTTAAAGAAAGAAAATTTTGAAAAGAAGTCTCACTAAAAGGAAAGATATGAATATTAATTGGTATTCTTAGGAATTCATTTATACTTGATTGACATTTGGTATACAGTGGGGGAAAGTTGTGATAAGCACATTGATAAGTGATCAAGTACATAACTGGTTCTACAATACAACACCACCAGGTCCGTCTGACCGATGATTAAGTACTGTGTTGGTATTGTGTTCTATCCAGCTACATCACGAACCATGCAGTCACCCTCGGAGGTCGACAATGAAAGCTGTTTTCACCACTCTGCAACAACACAAACCTGCCATTGACATCTTGTATTTCACCTGGTGTATACCAGTCAGCTCGTTAAAATAACTGGCATTGATGGTGTTTGTTTACTTAACCACTTAAGGTGACCTGTTATTTAAAAACTTGTGATATATCCCTCTCCACCCTGATCTTATGGCAGGTAATATGACGGCCCTCCCACGACAACAAAAACTTAACGGAATATATATCAGTGCACTTTTGCTAAATACAACAGTGTGGTGTTGTTGCATGGTCGTCTATATACTCGAACAAAGTAAATCTGTACCTGAACCCACTTGTTGCACTGTTCAGTTTTCATTCTCAAATTTACACATATATCACGTAAAAAAGTGGATGAACTTGTTTTATTGCATAACTAGGGCAAACCTTTTGATATGTACATACAGGATCGTGTTCAGGGACGTGCTGTCACATACTTTATTTAATTGGTGCTGGTCGATGCATTTATTATAGATAGTGCAGCTTTTCGTACTGGTTTGAGATGTGTAATGATTTAAAAAACAAAATATGAAGGATTTAAACTTTTCTGTGGATACTTTTCAATCTTTTCACAAGATAAGGTAAGTTATATTAAACTATCCTTTATTATTTATATTACCCCTACATATTTAAACTGGACTGGCCAAGTCTTTGATTTGGTTAGGTTCAAATGTGACTTTAGGGGTGAATGCATGGGTTTATTCAATGTCTATTATTGTATATAATCAAATATCATCATGATTTATAATTAATTTTTCTATTGATTACATTAAATGGTTCTAACAAAATACAGATATCAATAGGCTTATGGAGAATACTTTGGAGAATTTTAAATGTCAAAATAATTGAACAATCATATGTTTAAGAGGAATTCTGATTGAACACAGTCAAACAGCGTCACTAATATATGTACATATATAGGTTTTATTAGATTTTCTGGGTAATTTTCATAAATTTACTGAGTAATTGAATTGGTACAAGATCCTGATGTAGCGTAACTTGTATTGTTGGTAGAATGTGCCACAATACGTGTACAGTAATAATGATATGATTTAATGACCTTTTAAACATTGTTTAAAAAACTTCCATAAGTAATTTAATCAATTACATGTACTAACTTCCTTGTAGCTGACACCCTCGTAAACAACCTTAAAGTTAGACATTCTATAAGTGCCAAGTATATGTTATAAGAACAGCACTAGCAAATCTTGTGTAAACTGATGTATTAGATTCACTCTGAGGTCGATCTCTGTGAATAATACATAGAAATATACATCTTAGTATACATATAGATTTTTTAAGTCTATATCAGTCCCATACTTGCCAACTCTCTCTATTTAGGAAGGAGACCCCCTATTTTGGGCCAAACAAATCAGCATTTTCAACCTGTGGATTTGGTAAACTGTGAAAATGAAAACCTTTCAATTGGGAATGGGGCCCATTATCAGCCCGAAAAAATGCAGAAAAAAACCCTGAAATGTATATATACATTTGAGCTAAATACTTAATAGTCTATAAGTTAGATTAATATCATTTCAGTGAACAAAATGTTGTCAAGAAAATTAACAGTTTTTAAAAGATCTGTAGCAGCTTAACTACCTACCTTATATAAATAACCGGGTATATATATACTATAAGAGTTCGCGAACAGGACAAATTTATTCAAATAACACTTTGTTTCGGATTAAGTTTATTGCTCAATAATAAATTTACAAACTCTCAGACTGGTGCGAAGTGTCGTGACCTTTTAAAAAACGTATGAATGATTTCAAAGTGCATTGAACTTAAGTATCGCTAGGTTGGTTGGCCATATCATAATACAATGGTGCGATGATTCAACTGTATTTCTATGGAGACGAAAGGTGAGACCTCTAATGATCCAGATCTGATTTAATATACCTTAGAATTCCTACATAAAAACACCATTGTTGGACCAAATCAATGAAAGCTATAGATTTTCATTGCTATTGATGTCATTTACCTGTGTTAAAATATGCATGGTCCAAACGTCCGTAGAGTGTACATTTTGTTGTGGTATTTTCAACCGTGAAATTATTTGATCAACTCATTTTCTAACGGGATGGATCTGGGAAGTAAATTTATTCAAAGGCTAGAAAGCCTGGAAGTATTTATACACACCTACAGTATTTCAGTTTGTCTTTTGATATATATATTACTATGGTGAAATGTACCATGGATTCAGCCTAGAATATCGTTATCGTTGCAAGAAAGTTAAATTATATAAATGTAATGTATGAAACACTGACTGTGTTGTATCTAATGATAATGTGCTCTCTGGAACAATCATTTTGTTTTTAAGTTTGTTATTTCATTTTTACGCTTAAATGCATTGATTTTCAAGTAGAAATATTTGATGATCAAATAAGATCATTTAAATAACTAGTACAACTACCTTGTTTTCTAAGACAATTGATAATGAGCTTGTAATTGGGGTGGGTGAAAATGTCACTTCTAAATCCCCTAAATCCCACTATATTACTGCTAACATTGCATATATACTCACCAACTTTTAACAATTTGCATGGGGAAGATTACTCATTTTCAGAATTAAAATCATAAATATAATGAGTGTTTGTACTCACTAGAGAAAAAATAAAACTTTGAATAAACATCTTTTGAGCTGTTCTTGCAGATGAAATCATCAGATCTTTGAAAATAGGAATAGTTTAGAAAATTCACTGGTTGAAAGTGCTGAATTTTAGGGCCCAAAATTGGGGGTCTCCCTCCTAAATAGGGAGAGTTGACAAGTATGACATTGAATGTAGATCTAGAGACATTTCCAAATTGGAGGAGAATGTGATAGGGATGCGTGGGGGGGGGGG